AAATAAGTATATTTAATTAAAAGTTACTAAAAAGACAAAATTTAACTTAATAATTCTTTGCGATCATTATAGCTTTGAAACAATTTTTCATTTTTTAGGCAATATTCACTCATGCTCCACTGTAATAATGCCAGACTATTTGTATGATTCAATAAAAAAAACTAGATATTTAAGTTTTATATATGTATTTTTGTTTTTAACTTGGCATAACACTTTGAAGTAAACCCCCCCCCCCCCCCGCCCCAATCTACTCTGTATGTTCTACAGGACTTTTCAATCAAAATCAGCTCTGTGGATCAATATGAAAACAAACTTAAGGGGAAACTTGAAGAGATTAGTTCCAGTTGGGGGCCTTTTGACACTTTATTGATCATTTCTTGTCAGATTAACTATGGTGTAACACTACACCATTATCTTCCAAGACTGTAAAGTAAAACTGAGCACAGGTTTTTAAATATTAGAGATTTAAAATTTTATTTATAAAATACAAATAATTGTTGGCAAGAAAAGTTAACTTTTCAAAGGCCGTAGGATTTAAAGGGTAATAGAATGAACTTCCGAAAACAGGTGGATTGGTTAACTTGATTTTGCTACTCATGTAAGGAGTAGGAAGCAGCCTTTCAAAAGGGTAAGGACATGTGAGGATACATAGAAACACATCCACACTCTATTGGACTTCAGTTCATATTTATCAGTTTGGTTCATTTATTGTAACAAATGTTCATCTGTTGTAAATATTTATGACAATAAATTATTAAATTGTAACTAAATGTTACAAACTAATTTTAACTAACTGTACTGTTCTATACTAAACGTGCTATACTAAGATGTTAATAATAAAGGCAACTGAGCGGGTGTATATGGGAACTCTGCAGTATCTGCACATTTTTTCTGTAAATCTAAAGCTCTTCTAAAAAAATAAAGTCTATTAATTTTTTTTTTAAAGGCAGGTTAAAGGGCAGAATTATGGTGGTTTTCCTTTTTTTTAGTTTAGGAGATATATTCCAAACTTCTTGCTGTTATTAGTTGCCGTTGAATTGATTCTGACTCATGGTGACCTCATGTGTGCAGAGTAGAGTTTGTCTTAGGATATTCAAGGCATGACCTTTTAGAAGCAGGCTTGGTACATTTTTGTGGTCTTTGAGGTATATTTTAGAATTTGTACAGTTTATATAGTCACCACCTAAGACCAATTTCTTTTTTAAGAGTCATAAACTGTATCCAGCAACATTTAAAACTGAGGAAATATCACTCAGATTTTCTAATTCCTTGTTTTTCTTGAAAAATCAATACATCCAGCAATAGTGGGCCACATTCTTCTGTGAAAGCAGTTGGCTGGAGCTGAGTATCAACTACCATAGATGCCCTCCTTGTTCCTCAATAGTAAGGCTAAGGGGTCACTTAACACTTTTCATTTTGCTTACATTTCTAAAAATAGTACTATTAAGAGAAATGTGAAATTCTTCTTTTGTATATCTCTATCCAAACCAATTGCCATTGAGTAGATTCTGACTCATGGTAATTCCACATGTTTCACAGTAGAATTGTGCTCCTTAAGGCTTTCAATGGCTGTGATCTTTCGGAAGTAGATCACTAGGACTTTCTTCCAAGCCACCTCTGGTTTGATTTGACCACCAACCTTTTGGTTAGTAGCCGAGCGCTTAACTATTTGATCCATCCAGGGACTCTTTAGCAAAATTGATAAACAGCAAGAGGGAAAGAGAGATACTATTTGAAGAAAAAAGGAACCATCTATGTTTTTTGTGGAAGTGAAGGATGTATCTACATGTTTAACATGTATACAAAGTGTGTTTGTTGAACAAATTCTAAACATGTTTTAAACAAATCACAACTC